TTAGATTCTTTAGATACATAGAGATAGTATTCTATCTAGATAGGTCATCTTCAACCACATCATTTTCTGTGGAAAATGGCATTTAAATAACTTAGGGTTCTGTTGACATGAGACATGATTGCTTCTGACAGCACCAATCTATTCCTGAGAGAATGTTGAGCAGCAAAGACACTCCACTTGGAGCTTGTTTTCTTCTTGGCAAAACTGGCCTTTGGGTAAGGAACTGACAATGCCTCAACCACTGACAAGTTACATAGTATCTGGAAATGGATAAGCAGGACTGTCAAATCTTGCCAAGACAGGATAAGATGGTTTTGAAAAATTTCCTGCCTCTAAAAATGGTCTGTCAATTATGCTAGGTCATAGCCAAAGTTGGTTGCTTCAGTGTTGCAAAATGAGACTTTGGGTGATTGCTCAGGTAGATAATTGTCTCTATCATATATTGCTTGCTTTAGAAGCTACTTGATTGTACCTCCTGCCTGCTCAAGTAATATTATCTCCCTTCTCAGGCCTTTGATGGGGTTGAAGATTAGATAGTCATAGTTACCGTCCTCTTATGATCTAGCCAAGCCATTTCCAATACAAGACTTAGACTCCTTAGGCTTGAATGTTTATTAAAACATTTAGCATATGTTCCTTGCTTAATATTGTTTATGCTGATTGTAATTCTAATCTTATACTTTGTATCTGTTCCTAGTTTATATTGTTTTGTATTGGGTTTGGAACTCTCTTACTTAAACAAAAGGGGAAGGTGTTATGAGAGTTCTTTTCACTCCTTTGGCCAATAGCCTTTAAGATACCAGCCCACTTGGGTGTGGTCTCTTTCGCTTTAAAAAGCACCAGTAACCCTGCTCTCTCTTTCTCTCTCTTGTTTCCAGCTCTGCTTCCGGCTATTAGACTCTGTTCCTGGTCACACAGAGGGCTGTTGTCTAGGACAGTGATCTGTAAGTTTTTCCCCTTAAGTAAATAACCATTTTATTAATCATAATTCCAAACTGGTGTGGGATTGTTTTGTGACTTACATCTACACATATGTCATTTAGTAGATCTGTGTGTGTTGCATATGAGTGTGTAGGCATGCACACAATTGTGTGCATATCCAGAGGCCAAAGGAAGACGTCCAGGGTCTTCTGTCATGCCCTGCCTTATTGTCATTAGACAATGTCTCTCACTGATCCCGAGCTTGCCATTGCAATGATGCTGGACAGCAAGTGATGTCTTGGATCTGCCTACTGAGCTATCATGCCTGCCCCCACAGCTGTGGGTTTTTAAAGACACCGTGCATATGCAGAAGCTTTACTATAAAGTGAAGTTTAGAAAGCAAAGAGCAAAAAACAAATGCAAAGAAAGTGGCACAAAGCACAGGCTCTTGGATGCCCTCTTTGGATGCTGATAGCAACAGGACATAGGACAAAAATCTCTAGGGCCATTCACGGTCAGATAGTTAAGAGAATTGCTGCCTTACTCTGCAAGAAGAGCAGTTGCTGGCAGGCTGGTTCTGAGTTGATGACTCCAGATCAACAGCTCTTTTTCATGTCAAGCCTATCACAAGGAAGAATTTAACGCCTCATGCTCCACCTTTTCATAGCAGTAGTGTCCCAGTCCTGGGTAGGACATCGAGGGATTACTTACCTGTATCCAGAATGCCAAATGAGATGCTAGTGACAGACATTATGGCAGTCAGTAAGACAGCTGTCTTACAAAATGGGATCAGGTAAAAGCCAGCCGAGGTGAACAGGTTTGACAGCCCTGAGAAGACAAGGTTGAAAGAAAGGCAGCTGTAAAAAGCAGTATTTGAGAGTCAGGAGTCACTCCAACATAATAACTCCACCAAATGCAAATGGGATCAAATTTTTAAAAACCTTGTGTGGGTGAATATTGTACCTTCTACAAGTAACCATGCCTTTTAAATCTTTATGGATTACAAAATATAAAAGGTTTAAGAATTAATGTAATTCTATCATTGCTAGAATCAAGCTACAAAACACACAATTAAGCCAAGTTTCATAGCAAAAGAAGCAAAAGCTTTTTATTTAAATGTTTTACACTCAAGAACCAAAGGAGGGCTGCAATAGGGCTTTGTGCTGCCACTCCTGAAGACCCGAGTTATAGCTCAGCAACCCACACGTGGAAGGAGAAACTGAGTCCCGAGAGTTGTCCCCTGACTCCACAGGAGAGCTCTGGAACACGCACTGTAGTTAATTAAATGCACTTTTTAAAATATTTATTTATTATGTATACAAGATTTTGTATATGTGTATGTCTGCAGGCCAGAAGAGGGCACCAGACCTCATTACAGATGGTTGTGAGCCATGATGTGGTTGTCGGGAATTGAACTCAGGACCTTTGGAATAGCAGGCAGTGCTCTTAACCACTGAGCCATCTCTCCAGCCCCTTAAATGCACTTTTATGATTAAAAAAATAGCTGAAATAGAGGGGAGTAGTTAGAGAGCTAGCTCAGAGGACGAGCATGCACCATGCCTGATCCCCAGCCTGGTGGAAGCTGGGTGGTGGCAGCGCACGCTTTTAGCACTTGGGAGACAGAGGCAGATGGACACTGAGTTTGAGGCCAGTTTGGTCTGCAGAGTGAGTTCCAGAATAGCCAGGGCTACTAAAGAAACTGCTGGAGGAGGCAAGAGGCTGGTGGGCTGAGACATGTTGGGATCTTGTAATCCTAGAGTTTAGGAGGCTCCCCAGAGCAAGCAAATCAGTGAGTTCAATGAGAGAACCTGCTTCCATGAAGAAACTGGAGAGTCATCAAGGAAGACACCTGGTCTCCAGACTCATTCACACATACCTGAACATACATGAGCCCACACATATGTGAAACACACACACACAGGCAAAACAAACAAAAAAAATCCAAAAACCAAAAGGAATGTTTGCATATAGAATAACAAAAAAGCCAAGAGGAGGATGAGTTACTAGTAAACTTTACGTAAGTTAGTTTGTGGACTTGGGAGGAAAACACAAGGCATGTAGTTCTTGGCTGGGACTTAGCTCAGTGGTAGAGACCTGTGTAACAGGATTCTCCACAAACAAAACTTTACATCTATATAGTGAGTTATATGTATTCTTCAGTGCACTTTGGAATAAAAGGGATCTCTTATGTATTCACCAGGAATAATAGATTGTTGCTTCAGATGCAGAGGTGTTTTGCCTTACTTTCTTTAAAGGTAGACTTATTCAAAGCAGGTGTGGTATAGACTTTCCCATCTGCTTCCAGATGTGGGCGAGCATCCTGAGCTCGTTTCTGACATTGGATAGCAGCGACAAAAAATGCGGCTTGCGTTAGTTCAGCAACCTTCCCTGCCCTTTTGTGTCCAATCCAGGTTCCAAGAGCTGTTTCTTACCTCTGCGGCCCTGGGAACCCAGCTGAGCCTCCAAGGAGCCCAATGTGGGGACGCTGTGTGTGTCTGGAATGGAACCTGATTTAGGGCCTCGGCTGGCAAGACTTGGGAGTGCCAACACTCCCACTCACAGGGTTAGTCAAGTTTCCAAAGCGCTCCTTAACGATTCCCTGTCACTGCCTTTGGAACAATAGCCTCTGGCAACCCAGTTGGCAACAGCAAAGCACAGTGTACTTCAGCTGTCAAGGTCCCCAAGCTGATGCCTTCGTATTTAGAGACTCACTGCACACTCACTGCCAGAAACACTGAAATGAAAATCACTGTTAGCTTACCCAAAAGTAAGAAGTGATTCATGCAGTCGAAAAGCACCCCGCCGACCACAGAGCCGCCCAAGTAGCCGAGGGCCCGGCCCACGAATATTTCCGATAGGCTGCTGATGTTCCGGTTCACATTTCGTGCCAGGTCTGGAAAAGTGGGTCCTAGCACAGCAGCGCCCACTCCCTACAATTTACAAAGACAAACGGTTTTACTTATAAACAAAGTGACATCCATCTAATTATATCCACTGCAGATGAGCTAGTGGCGAGCGATAACAAGGCAGAGATTGACTGTAAGGCCCCGAGAGAGGTAGGAATACTCAATAACACTAAAGTTAACCGCAAGCCTTGGGCACCTGTTGCTTTTGTTTCTTTTTTTTTGTTGTTTGTTTTTGTTTTTTGTTTTGTTTTTTTTTCTGCTTTTCTTTGTTTCAAACCTCTCAATTTTTCAAAAGTCCTTTAAATCTGTGGCTTTTAAGAAATTATTTCCTATTTGACAATACATTAAAAGGCTATTGTGTATTAAACGCTAATTTAGAGCTAGGGAGGCAGCTCTGTGGTAGACCACTTGCCTAGCAAGCCCAAGTCCATGTTTAAAGTCTAGTACTACAAATTAATGATTATTTATCTTTAATTTTTCATTTCTTTAGTGTGTGTGCATCCACACCTGTGTGTGCATCCACACCTGTGTGTGCCATGGTGTACATGTCTGGATAACGAGACCACTTGTGTAAGTCAGTTCTTTCTTCCATGTGGCTTTTGAGAATCAAGCCCAGGCTCGGTGGCATACATCTGAACGGCTGAGCTGTCTCGCCAGTTATAGTATTTCGTAAGATGTACCGTTCATTTTATTTTCAAAATAAATTTTTAGCATAGTATTTGCAAATGCATTGGAAGCTCGAATGTGAGGATTTACATACCAGAATTTTAGTTATCTGATTGTTCTGTTTTTTTATATTATTAAAACAACTACTTCTGGTACAGATGGGGTTCTACACAAACACACAACATAGGAGATAAGTCCTCTGAGCTTGTGCAGATCTACACTTCGTCAAGGACATCCTCAGCCATCAGACCTGCAGCATGTCCTATCTTCCTTACAAAATGTTACATGCACAGGTACTGCCTGGCTTTCACGATACAGCTACAGCATTAAGGAATGGCAATCTACTACTCAATGTAACTTTGGTCTATAGCTACCTCAGCATGCCAGGAAGTCTGGCAAACCTGTCATCACACTGCAACCTTCTGAGTGTATCTCTTGTAACAAACGGCCAGCCTCATGGGCTGCGCAATGCGTAGATAAGTCCAAACAAGACAAAATGTAGGCGGAACCAGTGAAAGTTACTTCTATACATTTACTCTCTTTTTCTGCCTATAAATAAATCTTTTCCCACACTAATCGTTAGGGATGTCTTCTTCTGTTGACTCAAGGAGCTGCCCAACTTATAAATGCTCCTCTGCTCAAATAAGATCTTTTAAAATATTTATTTATTTTATGTGTACATGTGAGCACATCAGTATGTGTATGTGCGCTACACGTATGCAGGAGCCAGAAGAGGGTGTGGGACATTCTGGAATTGGAGTTACAGGTGGTTGAGAGTCAGCTGATATGGAAGCAGGGAAGCAAACCCAGGCCTTTGCAAGAGCAGCAGGTACTCATAGCTGCTGAACCATCTATCTCCAGTCCCTCAAATGAAAATGGACCAAATTAAAAAGTTTGACATCAGATGTGTGGTGGAAGAGACCTCCAGTGATGTTATCAGCATCAAATGATTACACCAATGTATCAACTAGAGTCTTTTGTGTTCAGTGACCTCAGCACAGCAGTCGAGGTCACCGTGGGCTGTCTCTTCTATCTGTCTACAGATTTGTGTACGGTCCTCTGTGTTGCTACATTGGACCACAGACGGGAGAGCACTTTTGCAATGGGTTCCTCCAGGCTAAGGTGTCTGGGAGACTAGCTGTAGGAAATCCTACAGCCAGTAGTTAGCGCAAGTAGCCTTGAAGTTACCCACCCGCCTGGCTGTGGCCTCTTATACTATAAATGCTGATTTCCTCTCTCTTCCAGCAGCTGGATTTGGTTTCTGCTCCCCGTTTGTGCAGAGGACTCTTATCTGTGAGTCTACCCCTAAATAAATAATCCTTTATTATAATCAGTTCTGAGCTAGTGTGGGATTTCTTTTAGCGTCCTTCCTCATCTGGCACCCACATGGATCCGGACTCCACACCTACTGGGTAGACCAGTCTAAAAGGCCCAAATAGTCCACAGCCCAGAAGGTCTCCCACCCCTGCCCACTTGGTTTGCTTTCACCTACTAAGCAGTTTTTTGTTAAAGCCCCACCACAGCAGAGCTAAGTGGCCGTGGCAAGTTGGCAATTTCCCAAGTTCGTGCACACCCCACCCCCACTGCTGTGTTCCTGCTGAGGGACAACTTCAGGTTTGTGCTCCCTGCTCCTGAATTCTGGGCTCCTTGCTCCATGTGCTTAAGCCCTTTACAATGAACAAATCTTGTCCCTGTGCCACAAAGCAGCCTTAAATGCTTGGAGCAAGATTCAAGAGCCAAGAAAATAAATTGAATTATATACTAGGGTTAAACAGGGCCAGAGAGAACCCTTTAGTGACTTTTTACAAAGATTAACTAAGGCTGTACAATTGGGAGCAATAGACCCAGATGCTAGATGAGTACTTATTGAATCTCTGACTTTTGAAAATTCCAACTTAGAATGCAAAAAGATACTTGGGCCTCTATACTGATGCAAATAAATCAGGAAAGGCAGGCTACAAATCAGAAGATTTAAGTAAGGTAGAGCAAAGTCCTTATAATTCTGTCCAAAAGACAGAATTATATGCTATTCTCATGGTACTAAGGAATTTTAAAGAACTTCTTAATATAGTTACTGATTTACAATATGCAGGAAAAGTTGTCTTGCATATTGAAACTGCTGAATTTATACCAGATGATACAGAATTGACTTCATTATTCATACAGGTTCAAGATATAATCAGGAATGGACTTAGTCCCATATTCATAACACAATCTTATCCCATAAGGGTCTGCCAGTTCCTCTAGCACAAGGTAATGCAGAAATTGAGCAATTATTGATTGGAAGTGTGTTGAAGGCCTCAGAATTTCATAAGAAACATCATGTCAATAGCAAAGGTTTAAAGAAAGAGTTTTCCAGCCAGTTTTATGCCTGGTATTGGCATAAAAACAGACAGGAGGACCAATGGAACCTAATAGAAGACCTGGATATTAATCAACATTCCTTTGAACACCTGATTTTTGACAAAATATATCAAAAGGAAAAAAAGCATATTTCATAAATAATGCTTGCATAACTATATATCAACATGTAGAAGAATGAAAATAGAGCCATATCTACCACCATGCACAAAACTCAAGTCCAAATGGATCAAAGACCTCAACATAAAGCCAGCCACACTGAACCTTATAGAAGAGAAAGTGGAAAGTACACTTGAACGCATTGGCATAGGAGACCACTTCCTAAATATAACCCCAGCAGCACAGACACTGAGAGAAACAATTAATAAATGGGACCTCCTGAAACTTAAAAGCTTCTGTAACACAAAGGACATGGTCAACAAGTCAAAATGACACCCAACAGAATGGGAAAAGATCTTCACTAACCCTACATCAGACAGAGGTCTGAGCTCCAAAATATACAAAGAATTCAAGAAATTGGTCATCAAAATACCAAATAATCCAATAAAAAATGGAGTATAGACCTAAACATAGAACTCTCAACAGAGGAATCTAAAATGTCTGAAAGACACTTGAAATGTTTAACATCCTAGTCATCAGGAAAATGCAAATCAAAACAACTCTGAGACTCCATCTTATACCTGTAAGAATGGCCAAGATTAAAAATACTGATGACAACTTATGCTGTAGAGGTTGTGGAGAAAAAAGAACACTTCCACATTGCTTGTGCGAATGCAAGCTGGTACAACCCCTTTGGATGTCAGTGTGGCGATTTCTCAGAAAATTAGGAAACATACTTCCTCAAGCCTCATAAAGGTTGGGGTAGGATTCTGTTCTTGTCTTTGCAGGAAAATACTCATCTTCAGAAAATCAAGAGACCCTAGACATCTAGATACCTAAATAGGAAAAGATAATTATTCAGATAGGACCACCAAGCAAAGAGAATTATCACTTATGAGGACAGATCTTCTGAGGGTAAGAATCTCTGAATATTAACTAGAATAATAGTCATGACTCACTTAAAAATCAAATCTGGCTTTGGAGTTGGACAACTGCTCTGTCCTTCCCTAAATCCAAGCGTGTTGTTAAAAGAAAAATTCAGAGTTTTGTCTCATGTCAGGAGCCATCCAGTATGGGACAGAAAGAAGAAAGAATTTAGAAAAAAATTTTACTTTTCTTCATACATATTTTTGACCCTATCATACCTTTATTGAATATATGTCTGTATAAATAATATTTAAGTTTTCCACAATAAACAATGAATTTTCCTACAGTAATCTTTGAAGTTTCCAGGAAGAAGATGGGGCCCCACAACAACAACCCTACCTGGTTGATATGACATCATGATACTGATAGTACTACTATAAGACCTGTTTTGGGTACCAGCTGCACAAGATGGTTCCAACTTGATTAGGTGAAATTCTGTACTTTTTACAACGTTATGGCTAGAACTCAAATAGAAACCTCATAAAAACCTTACCAAATACTTAAAGACTATTTACAATTATACCAGACAGTAATCTTGAAACTTAACCATCGTTTTACGTTCACAGGAGCCCATAGAAAGAACATTGCCAGCTGAAAATAATTCTAGAAGATGTCTCCTCTCCCAACAAAGTTTGTCCTCAGGGCTAGGGACATCATTTAGGGGTTGAGTATAATTGGCATAGCTTTGGGGGGTTGGAGGGAAATTATGTAGGCTCAGGGATCTCTTTGAGGAGAAATAAAGGGAAATTGGATGAGATAATAAATTAGTGTGAGCTTACTCACACTAATAATAATAGTGAGCAATAGAGTGAATACTTCTTGTGAGCTATTAGTTATAGGCAATTTACATTGGTATAGATTCTTGTATATTGATACAAACTTAAATTGTATTAAATATATTCCTATTTTCATCTATAATATTTGTATACCAAGGCAAATTAATTTTGTCATATTGTATGTATGCATGCTTT